AACCCTGTCCATTGGGTCCATAAATCAAACCAAATTGAATTCAACTTATCTGAAAATGCTTGCAAATTGAATTAATCAAGAAAAAATTGCCTTCTTGACAATGTATAAATTCAACAGTAGAATATTAAATCTTCAATTTCTACTCACTTAATCCCTGGGGCCATCTTTGAAGATATCTAAAGTTACGTAATAACGTAATATTAAGGATGTCTTTGTATAATTATAAAATATTTATGAAATATTATGGACATATACTCGTTTATTTCTAGATTAATCTTTACAAGATTTTTACACATGCAATGTCTTGATTATTCCTTTGACAGATATTGAACTTTACCTTTATGGCATTAGACCTGATGACATCTTTTCAACACCTTCAAAACATGGCTGTTTAATTCCAGAGCAATTCCCACTGACTCAACAAACATTTCCTCCATGAATCCCATTTATTTTATCCCATCCCGTTTTATTTATTTCCCTTGAGAAGGGGATCGAGATTCCTACATTTACATTTTCAACACCTTTATTCAAGTCTTAGAGCACTTTTGCCAAGTTTGGTTGATATAAAATCGAGTCCCAGGTTCCATTATATATTTATCCCAGACCCTCACTACTTAAAAATTGTTTTCATTAAAGAGGGTTTCCTTTGGATAGAAAATGAATATCAGACATACACAATACATAAAATTCAATTTAAACCTATCATTACATGTTGTTTAAAAGGGAGAACTCCCTTTCACCTCGATCAGATTTCTTGCAATGTCTGTGTATTGTCCGTGATGCCATTTTAGACCGTGACTTTGCATATCAAGTATATCATAAAATGGTCCATAGACACGCGTATTCTTCTATTAGGAGATCGAAAACAGTTACATGCTGCTAATTTCAGGAAGCTCGATCGTAAAAGATATTGAGAGAGAAGAAATAAACACAGATAAAATGTTCAAATTTCCCGGATGCTAATGAGACAGTAATATTTTCACTTTCGTGACGATATGGATTCCATAAGGATGCTTTTTCCCTCCAAGGCTTTCTCCCGTGTGCGCTTGTCTAATTTCTCACAATCTTTCTGTCAATGAGCGATGTAAAATTTAATTACTGTGAAAAATTATCAAGCTTCACCAATGCACTCTTCATTTTTGTTTTTACCAAGACTTGATACATCACAGACGTGTTTGATATGATTACAGTTTTTGTTCACAATATATACGCAATACGTTGTTTATAGCGGATGTAATTAAGTATCTGCTGTGTAAATTCCTCAGAAACCGTCTAAAATTTTCCAAGTTATTTTCTTCTTATTTTTTATTTCATTTTTGTACTTATTTACTAATCATTTTCGATTTTTCACATAATTAAAACATTCTTTGCGGTAATAAAATAACACACTGAAATGACCGAAAACTAGAAAATTTTATTGAATTGACAGGTGTCCATTCTTGTCTAAACAGAGGAAGAGCGAAAAGTTGCATCTTCTTTTAACTTTGAACAAGAAACATATGCCAGTAGAGGACTAAAATTGATTTGAGCAATAATCTTGATGAAATCCCAATCTCGTTGATAGAAAAATGCATTTTAATATGCATCTATCTAGACTTTAAAGGATAATAATCCCAGGAATTTGGCCACTGTGCCTAGTTCCTGCAAAATTCCAATATGCAAATAATTCACAGCTAAAAATTTAGTAAACGTGTTTGCTTCCATTCTCCTATTTGTACTGGCTGATTGAGCTTCACGTCATTCATGCTGGTAGAGATTTTTTCTTAAAGATACATTTTGTCATTAGACAACATTTAAGCTAGTTCAAACACTTGCTAACACTGATCATTTTCTAAATAACATGATAATGTTTACAACAATCTCAGTTTTGACTTTCTTGCGGTTTTCAGGTTCCAATTAACTACCTATACTCCATCCTTTTTTCTAATTATTTCTACAAACCGCTGCACCGGACAGTATTTGTGGCGGGCAGTGACCTTTCATTGACCTTTGTTTTCCTGTATTGTTGGATATTCTGATTAACTTAATCTCTGAATAAAAGCCCGCATCATACACATCTGCCGGGGATTTGCCCGTTATCGGGTTGGATTATATTTCCTGCTTCTGTATGGTATCTCTTTGATGAGCGATATCATTTTTCGATCAACTTGACAAGGATAATGAATTTTAGAGAAGCATTTACTGAAGAGAAATATGGGTCTTTTGTTTCGAAACAAAAAATATTTTATCTAATATGATCCGCTACCGCACTAGTATCTTTATGTGATAAGCAAACACAACCTATCTATGCTATTATTGGGTCGTATTTTGACTGACATATGTCATAGCAACTGTCATGCTTTGTTTTTATACTAAATTTGACTAAGGAATAGTCAAACTTAGTATAGATTTATATATATGTATATTGATCTGTATACCTAATCAATACATAGGGCTTAGGCGGGTGTGACCGGTACACAGGGGAAGCCTAGTCCTCCTAGGCACCTGATCCAACCTCTAGAATTTCCAGGAATCCGTGTTTTATACCCTGATCACAGATTTGTATTGTTTGCAGTTTTTTTCTATATCGATCAATGTTCGATTTCCTCACCTTTTTTTCATTTTGCTGATTGCTTGGTAAAGATCCGATTTATCATGTACTTTTTCTCATAAAATTTGCTTACGTTAATTTCATTAAAACGGAAGTGATAAAAGAATTAGAAAGACCATACATGAATAAAATAATATGGTTTGAGAAGACAGGGCTTGTAATGATTTTGTCTTTGTTTGTAAGACTCATTATTACAACTGTATTTTAGAAGAACTTCTGAAATACTCACAAATCACTTTTTAGGATGATCTGTTTGTTTGTTTTATGCTTAACGTCCCTCTCGAGAATTTTTCACTCATATGGAGACGCATGAGATTCTTCAAAATCACATTTCACACTTTTAAACTTTTAACATCCAAGTCAATAAAGGTGAATTCGATCTACCTTACCTACACTGGATTCCTAAACTTAATAAAAATCCTTACAAACAAAGAGACATTGTCGGGTCCAGCAAGTGCTCCACCAAGCCCCTATCTAATCCTCACAAAAGTTTCCCCACAAATAAAAATAATTTCACAGTTTATAAAAGTATTCCACTATCACCTGCATACGCAGTTTATGTCTTCAAACTTCGCTAATACTTAAGAGCTCGCTCTGAGTACGATCAATTTTTAAACCGAGGCAGGCTACTGACAAGTAAGTTAATGTTTGAGGCATTTCAACAACCTCGTTTGAAAACAGCATTTCGTAAATTCTATGGCAGTTATAATGATCTTGCAAATATAACCTATCATTGGGTCGTATTTTGGCTGACGCGTTTAACAACAATTGCCCAATCTTTGTTTTATACTGAATGTGACTACGGAGTATTCTGTATACCTGTCAGGCTATGATAAACTTTAACAAGCTTTGTCCTGATATTTGATCATAAACACACGGTAATCTCCCTCAGATTGTCGGTGTTTGATAAAACTAGAGAGTACAATTTGTTTCAATATTTACCAATTAAGGGCCCTCATGGGGCAAAAAGAAAGTACACTGTAAACACATATATAGTCGTATACATGTACTACATATACAGAAAGAGTTGCATGATTGATAGAAGAAAGACATATAAAAGGAGGAATAAACCAGATAGTTTTTATACATATACATAAATTCTGCACAAAGTACATGATGAAGTCATATATTTCCATATATTCCTAAGTGAAATTATATGCCTTTTTACAATTTTTTTTCATAAATTTAGAAAATATATTTTTTTCTTTTATGCAATCAATATCAGAAAAACAAAGCAACGATGGCTTTTTAACAGACTTGAGTCAATGTGTGCCAGTTTACATGTACCTACAAGTATAAGTACTCAGGTATGTAAGACAAGTATTGGTCCCAGTTTTTGTTCTGTGTATTACGTGCAGGTAATTAGCGTCTTTTATAATATTGTCACTAGGTAACATGTTAGTTGTTATGGTTATAATGAAAAGGACTAATTTCTCTGTAGACTTTACCTGTATACTTTAAAATAATCAATTGTCATACCTTGTTAATTAAGACTGACTTTAGCTTTGACACATCGCCTGCGACCTTTTGTATTTTTTAACTACTTATAAACATAATGTAGAGAACTAGATCAGTGCGCTCGCTCTCTCTCTCTCTCTCTCTCTCTCTCTCTCTCTCTCTCTCTCTCGTTGTTTGTTTCCTTATTCTTGTTTTGTTATTTTTATCCGTAAATAATGGAAACCGAAGCGATCCCTGACAATTCTACAGAGTCAAAAGGTGAACAAACATGTTTTCGCAGCTTTTTCTCGCCGTTAACTGTGTAGTATGCAGAAGCAATATTCTGTGTTGATTTGTGTGGTAACTTGAGATCAAAATATCTACATGTGGATGACAGGTTCTGACGGTCGATTGCAGAACGGTAATACTGTACTCGGCAAATGTCAGAGGATGGTTGAACGATAGACTGACAGACGGGAACAAAAACGAAGTCAGATATTCTAAGCATTTCATAAAGAAATATAAAGTGAACATGCAAATATTTATATTATGTATTAGAAAAAAATGCATAGAATACCATATTTTTTAAAAGAGAGAGAGGGAGAACTTCCGTCCACACAAAACCATTTTTAAAAAAATAAACGAAAATAAGATTTCAAAAAAGATTCATTTAAAAAATCTTTTAATCAATTTCTAATCGTAAGATCTAATATGAACAGTGAATTATACCCTCTTGATTACCGTCCGGCTAATTCTTGCATATATCAAGTTTCGTTAAGGCTTTTTCTTCCATGTTCAATGCTTTTTGCACCATCCAGAAGCGTCCCCTATCGGCGATTACGTAGAAGAACAACTTTTTTCCCGGTATATTGTTCTATTGCTGTTGGCAGCAGACATGATAATTCGATTAAAGCAATAAAAATCGTTCATTGTTTCTTAGCCCCAGTAATCTTTTTTAATTCGCCTCCTTACAGCGACCAATTGTAGAGAACGCACTAAGGACAAGCAATTACAGGCCATAACTCAAGTCTAACAGACGCATAAAGAACATTATCTACTTTGTTTTCGGAAGGAATCGATATTCGGGAAAAATATCGATAATCAGTTGATGTACGACTAGTTATTGGTAAGGTAATCTGTGTGGGCGTTTTTAAAATCCACTTATTAAGCATCATATTATTGTGCAGAAAAGCGGAAGTCCTGATTTTGAGCAAGCCAGCATGAATAAATGTTAAACCTCAACCTATATAGATACTGATTTAAAATGGAGCCTGAATATTTCATATTATTATCCTCACAAATCGTCACTGTATCTCCAGTGTAATTGTGAAAGACTGCAGTGATTTCCTCGACAGAAAGCTACAATTTCAATTACATCGATATCATAAAGCATTGAGTGTCAGGCGATCGGATGTTATATAAGGGATCTGTTGTTTCCCGCGGAATCAGTATGTCACTTTCGCTGTGGATAGAAGAAGTCAGTGATGGCGCAGAACTTATTGCAGAATAAAATTAAAAACTGAATCATTAAAAAGAAAATTATAAACGTCATCAGGTAAATTGTCACACTCCTACACTGCGTTATGGGAGATGGACCCCCTTGAGGATAATTAATTTTCTAGCTGAATCATCAAATGTGGGCTCTGTAAAGTGTGAATTTAAATCTTCTATAAGTTGGATCTTTATATTCTGACACCTGTAGCATCCATGTTTACTTCTGCAGGAATAAAAACAGAATGGATTCCAATACAGAAGGTAATATGTACATTTATTACTACAACTCCAGATGGGGTAGATTAGAAGTCACGGATTTCGGGGTGGAAGGGAATATATATATGAATGTATCATGGGGATATTGATAAGTTTTGACCAGTGTCAAAGTAACAGTTTATTTTAATTATTTTAATTTTGAGCTCCATTGAAAGGAAGAGATTATTGAAATGAACCAACAGTTTTAACTAGTATCTTTTTATTTCTCCTTTTTTTCAATTTTCAAAGGATGCATCATGCCAGAAAAAAAGCGAAAGTGTTAGCATTATAATGCATTATCTGCCGGAATTCTGTGCCTTTTTTAGCACAGCATTTTTCTACAAGTTAAGAAAAATTAAATTTAATCGCACCATAAACCACGTTTCTGGGAAACGGTATTTATAGATCCATCAATAAGAAGTTTAGTTGTGGCATTAACTTACAAAAGCTTTTTGTTTCTTTGTTCTTCGTAGTCTTTGCATTGAATGTTTGTTTAAACAGTGTTTAAAAATACAAGGCCTATTTTTGCCATATAATCGGTGTTATCGGTAGGCTGTAGGCAAATTTGTTCGACTTATGTATAATTCACATGCTCAACGTATAGACATAAGTATTTTTTCTTAAATTCATCTAGGGACTGTATTTTGAATTTGCATTGAATGTTACATATCGGAGTTAAAATGCTATGATGCATATAATTTGTTGTTGTTTTTGTATACTTTTTAATTTTTTTTTATTTGATGACCTTCATACCCAGGGCCTGTTCAGTATCTGCTGCTGTTGAAAGATCTTATCAATCGATCAGATTAGTCCTACTCACCATATTATAATTGATATATAAAAACTATTCAATTTTTAAAGGGGTTATTCGGCTGTTATGAGTGAATAAGTTAAGAATATTTATCTGTACTTATTATTTATTTTGTAATAACGATGCTTAGCTACTATGTCTAAAAAAGGGCAACATTCTTAATCAAAGAAAATTTCACACGTTCCTGGTGTTTATGCCATTATTAATCATGTTAATCGCTGCCAATTTTTTTCCTAATGATTTTTTCCACAAAACGCAAAATTCCGTGCAATGTGCTATGGAAATAAATGCTATTAACAACAATGATAATTAAAACAAAAAAATATTGAATACGATCCTGGGAATAATATATATCATATCAGATGCTATAGATCGTAGCATCGTTATCCCCAAACATTTTTAGGTGGCATTTTCAAGCTGCGAAGAGAGCGCGAAGAAACAAAGTATGTCTATTTCAATTAATTTGAAGATACAAAGTATGTCTATTTCAATTAATTTGAAGATACAAAGTATGTCTATTTCAATTAATTTGATCCCTGTCTTGCTTTACTTCGAAATACCTCAGTAGACAACACTTCTATCTTGATAGCAATTAAGAAGCACCTCACAATGTTATTTGACTTATTTAGAGGACAACCATTGTGAGATATGTATGACAATATGTAATTGAATTTTAAGGCTGTTTACTGGAGGGGGTTGTCGAACTTGGCTGACGTTTGATTATTTCCACATCATATTACGAAGTCGTAGGTACTTTGTGTCAGATTTTCTGATCCAAACCTCTGCTAACGTCTGATTAATTTTTCATGATGTACTTTTCAAATAATCGATTTCCAATACATTGGTTCCTGTCACTGACACACGTGTTGGCAGGTAAATTATTAACACGTGCTCACCTGTCGAGGATGTTATGTTTTCTATAGGTACTTTACTGTGTCTTGCAGGTAAAGGGGCCTCAGATGTTACAGATATGTTTATCACTGAGCAGTAACCGCGTGAACCTAATTTTATGTTCAAATCATGAAAACTCATTATAATTGACAAGTACAAAATAAATCATTTTGACTGCTGTAAGTTTAAAGTATTAACAAAACCATTCTACCTTTATACAGTTACTGCCAGCGTGCCTTCAATTGACCATGATCAAAAATAAAAATTTCATCACACCAGACCTTCAAAACAAATGTTTTCAATGCAATAAACATGTTTCATTTGGCTTCATTGTAAGGTTCAACATTAAAATTCTACTATAATACTAATGAATTTACGAAAGACATCTAATTTATATTTAAAATGTACATTAGGGAAGCATATCATGCCGGGAAAATGGCCTTTTGCTTTTACATTTTTTTTTAAAATAACAGTTATTTATTTCAGTTAGAGTTATCTCTCTTAACAGAGGGTTGTTGAACCTTAATATTGCATCTCATCTCTCTTAACAGAAGGTTGATGAACCTGAATATTGCATAAATATCATTCGTTTTCGTAATCGGACTTTCATTCAATTTCGTTAATAGAAACGAGCAGTAGAAATCGCTAAATATCTTTATTAATTCAAGGATACAAAGCGGATAATTACATGTTTAAATTTACAATGTATCATGCCTATGTAATCCATAATATAGTTCAACCTTACCGTGCAGTCCATTATGTAACATTGAAAATTAGGGGCATTCTCTGTATTAAGATCACATATCCTGTATATTATAAAATGGACTTGATTTTTTTATATATATAGATTTACACTGTGGTTCTTTAAATAAACTTTCGTGTTTTTCCATTTGTCTTCTGTGGGTATAATTTTCGATATCACCTAGTCCTGTTCAAAGAGTCGTCTACGCTGAAGGATCTTACTTACTAAATGTATATATGTCAGTACGGGCATTTTGTTTGATTGAAATAAAGCTATTTGTAATCTATTTATTCTCCCCTTTCTGTTTTCAATAAAAGAAAAATCTTCACAGCTTGAAAATACCACCTAAAGAATAGTGGGTGATAACTATGCCACAAACTCTAACATCTGATCAGAGAGATTATAATCGCAGGATCGTATTCAATATTATTTATCTTCATGGGTTATTAACATGATTGTTTTTTTTTTTTCTTTTCATCTCGTTTAAGGAGTGAAAATCATTAAAATAAATATCACGATTTATCCGGGTCAAATATTCCAATTGATTGTTTATTGTTACGTTCAAGAGAGAAAATGCATTATTACAAGGTATATCTAAGCTCAACAAGACCTTTGTTTATTTAACAAATAAGGATTGATTTATTTGGTTGATGATCAATGAAGACAAACCAGTAATTATCTAATTGAGTGAATATCTATTTAAAACTTTCAGGAAAAAAGTGGTGATATCATAAAACTGCAATAATAATGTTGTAATAACATCCACTTTTGTTTACACCAATTTGAAAATCTCATGTACCTGTTTCCCCATACGCTATATCTACATGTAGTTTATAGTTTAATATTGGATTTTTTTTTTAATTTCTTTCTTTCTTTATAAACTGTCTTTGCTGTTATGCCCTCTGGGCTCAAAGTTGGAATAATCTTAACTTTACCAGAGATGTGTGATATTTTATTAGTCCCCTACCGGTGAAACCGGAGGGGACTATAGGTTTCCTCCGAGTCTGTCCGCCCGTCTGTCGGTCTGTCTAGCTGTCTGTCTGTCTGTCCATCTGTCTGTCTAGCTGTCTGTCTGCCAGTCTGTCCCACTTGGTTCTCCGCACTTTTTTCTAAACGCTTAAAGATATTGAGCTGATTTTTAGTGTGTGAGTGTATCTTGATGAGTTACAGGTCAAGTTTGCATTTCCTTCCGCGTCAATGATTTTTTTTACGGAATTTAGACCTTTTCAATTTTTCAGGGTTTTCCGCAATTTTTTCTAAACGTTTGCAGATATTGAGCTGATTTTTGGTATGTGTCTTTACCTTGTTGAGTTATAGATCAAGTTTGCATTTCGTTCCGCTTCATTGATTTTTGACGGAATTGTGGCATTTTCAATTTTTAACGGGAACCAGATTACACTTGCTGGTAGGGGACTAGTATTGCTAATGCAATACTCTCAGAATGCTTGTTTTCCTTTAGCCTTTTCAATATTTGATGACCTGTTTACTCTTTACATCTACATAATGCCTCTCAAAAGTTTAAAACCTGGTCCTATTTGCTTTCAACTACTGGCTGATATTTCGTGGCATAACCTTTATGCATTTGATCAGAAATTTCGATACCTTTACAACAGAATATACAGCTGTATTTTACATCAAAAGTTTTATAACAGCAGCTATTTATAAATACTTCTACAACAGTGTATATATCTCAATACGTTTACAACAATAGATATTTCAATAGCTTTCTAACAGAAGACATTTCATCACCTTGATAACAACAGATATTTCACCTTTATGACAGCATATACCTCAGTACCCTTATAACAGCAAACAATTCGTTACCTTTTATAGCAGCACATATTTCAGCACCTATATAACAGCAAATATTTCAACACTCCTGATTCCAACTCTGATGTTTGGAGGTCCGTGTTTGCTCTGCTCCTATTTTGTAATGTTTAATGGACTTTTGAGCTCGAATAATGTTCGTTATCTCCATATATTTCACTCTTATAACAGCAGAAATCTCAGTGCCTTTATAACATACATATTTAAACACTTATTCAATAGCTATATAACATCAGTTATTTCACTACCTATTCAAAAGTAGATATTTCATTACCATTTTATAACATAAGATATTTGAATACCTTTACAACCAGATATTCAGACACCTATGATGATATCACACTAGCTTAATAACAGCAGGTATACATCTGTATTTCAAAACCCTTATAATAATAGATATTTTAACACCTTTATAAAACAGCTGATATTTCAATACATCTATAACATCAGATATTTGAAACATCTTTGTAACAGCAGCTCAGAACAGGAGAGATTTTCAATACTTTTTTAATAGCAAATATGTCTATACCTTCATAACTGTAGAAATTACAATTCAAGTTTCCTTGAGACTACACTTTTTAATAATAAACTTTGAAAATGTGGTAATAGAAGAACTACACACGCTGATTCGAGATTCCAGCCAACATTTTACAGACACTTTATTAATATCTTTAGCAATTTTACTACTCAAGTTCATTAGTATTCGATTAATAACTCGTATATAATTGTCAATTAATTAATTGCTCTCTATTACATCTCATTCTGAAAAAGGGGTATAAAATTTCGTCCCTTGAAATCAGACACTCACCGACTTTTAAAATGAATATGGATTTGAATAAATGTCCATTTAATCTTTAAATATTTTAACTAATGTAGAATTAGCCATATCAGATTAATAATAAATATTTTATTTAAATTCTGATCCGTAAATTCTAAATATTAAAATATTTCAGATATTTGAGTTCTATCGATTGCTGGAGTTGACATTGTCCCCGGGAACCCAATCTTCGTTCATCAACGTATGTTCTCTTGTCTCATTAAGATGTTCCATCAAATTTATAATCGACGTTTCTTAGCTTGTCACAAGCCACACTATTCTCCAAAACTGAATTGAAATCATTTAATAGTAGAGTTTTCTAGTGGTCAAAAATAAGTATAAACAGACAAAACTAAGTTAAAAATAGTAATACTGTATTCTACCCTCTTTAATGTAATGTGATCCATAAATCTTTGTTTTTAAATATTCCATTAAGTCTGTTATGCTTGAAGAATATAGTCGCATTTTATGCAACAGCTTTTTGTAAAACACATTTTGATTGGCCAATGTACTTGATGTTTAAAGCAATTAAACGAGCATTATCGGAAGTGAAAGGTAACACAGTGCATGCTGACGTATTAACGTATCAACGAAATAAAATGTAAACAACAAACAAAATACCTAATTTGCATTAGAATAGAAATAACTATCTTCTCATTTGTTATTTGTGACTGTAAATGCTGATATAACGGTCGTAAATAACAAATGAGAAGACATTCAATCCCGAATAAGGGTCCGTGTAGAGGAAATTTCCGAAAGGACCTTCTTTAAAAATCTATGAAAACACTTAATGCATAATTTAAACAAAGGATAAAATTGTCCCTACTCCTTGAGGTAAAATTAAAACATATTATGTAAAAATAAATAGCATTTCCAACATAATATACATTCACTGTTTAGTTGCACATTTTTTTCAACAACTTCATATCAGATGATATTTCAACACCTTTATAACAGCAGATATTTCAATACATATATAACAGCATATATTTAAATGCTTTTATAACAGCAGATAATTCAGTACCTTTATAACAAACATTTTAAACCTTTATACAAAGATGCATTTCAATACTTTTACAATAGCAGATATAAATACCTTTAAAACAGCAGACATTCAAACACCTTTATAACAACAGACATTTCAACACCTTTATACCAACAGATATTTCAATACCTTGATAACAACAGGCATTTCAAACACCTTGATACCAACAGATATTTCAATACCTTGATAACAACAGGCATTTCAAACACCTTTATAACAACAGGCATTTCAACACATTTATAACAAAAGGCATTCCGATACAGTTCTGCAGCTATTCTAGCGGTAGCCACTACTCGACTTTCCTTAATATTAAAATTTTGAGAATGAATTTTGATGAGAATGTTTTAATCTAAAAACTTGAGCACTAACTCTCGATTTTTGCCTACCTTTGAAGCACACATAATCTAGCATATTTTTCTATCACAGGTTTTCTTCACGCAAAATCAACCACATTGTCATTCGATTAATAAATCTATTATCATTGTCAGTTAAGGTCTGACGACACGTTCCTCGAATATCTGATTTTTTAACATCTCTGTAACATACCAGAAATCTTTCAAATTATTATTGTCTTCTTATTTCTAAAAAGTTTTCAAACTGTCTTAAAAATAATAACTGTGATATCAGCAATTCAAGTGAAATCTAATAGGGTTATATAGAAAATATCAACCTCTGGTATCTTGCACACATGCCTTGTAATGTACCTCATTTTTCGCGAGGAAACTTATTAAAGCAGCGAAACTTTAATCACAAATTTTGGGAAAAATATATATATTATTGGGAAACGTGCCGTTTGACCTTAATTGAGTTTAATTAAATAAAAGTGTATAATTTTTTTTCCATTGAAATCGTTATCTGATTTTAACCAAGATTTATTTTATTTCAATGTAGTAGATATAACATAATTGATAACAATGATATTTCATCCTTAATGTCGAGGAAAATCATTATGATTCTTACTCATAATGCTGAATTCATTTATCTCTACTGTCAGGCCACGTTATTGCAGAAAGTACGTTAGACCCAATGCAAATAAACAAATGTGGATGTCAAGTATTGGCAGAATTGAAATTTTGTTTACTCATACTTTACATGTAAATAGCCTGCCATAAGGAAGTATTTGGCACGAAATATGCAAGGAGACATGCAAATCAGGCAACTGCCACTTACAAGCATAATTTCTGTAATTTACTTATGAATATTCGGAGAAACTGTGTCCACTCCTAATACTTAATTTGAAGAATACGTTTTATTTTTACCAGGATGAATCAGTTTTGCTTAATGATATGCAGATCTTCTGGGTGTATTGCCATTCCTTTACCTAAACAAGTTCATGAGTTACACCATTATGCATAATTATCTGATTGATCATTTTTTTTTCTTTACAGAAAATTGGATCCTTTTCACGGATTTGTCATTCGTCAACAACACAAATATTTCATTTACAGCCATGGGTTCAGAGACAACTAATGGACTGATGACATTCGGCCATTGGTTCACACGTATCCATGGCTACGCCAGCTTGTTCACGTGCATTTTTGGGATATTTACTAACCTCTTCAACATTTCTATTCTAACACGTAAAGATATGTGGAACCCCACCAACTGCCTTCTGACATGGCTAGCTGTCTCAGACATCCTCACCATGATCCCTTACATTCCATTCTCCCTCCATTTCTACTGCATCCACAACTTTGATGAAATCTCACAAGAAAAGTTCTCTCGCGGCTGGACCACGTACATGCTTGTCCTTGTAAATTTAGCAGCGACTACACACACGATTTCGATATGGCTAGGTGTCTCATTGGCAGTTTTCAGGTTTACACAGTTACGGACCACAGCCAAAGGACCTTTAGCACGCATGAGGAGTATGCGACAAGTCAAATACACTACTGTGTTAGTATATATTCTTTCTACCCTGTGTTTAATCCCTAATTACTTGACCAACGAAGTTGTTCAACAGAAAATGGATTCCAACATAACGATATACGTCCTTAATGATTTAAAACTAGCCACCAATGAAACAAAGCCGATCGTGCTCGCTAACGTTCTCTCCTACGCTATTGTGGCCAAATTCATTCCATGTGCACTCATGATAGTGTTCGGGGGGTCATTGTTGTATAGTCTTGGAATCAAAGGAAGGCATCGAAGGACTAGACTTTCGGCTGGTCAGCCGCCCGCAAAACGAGGCACGAAGCATTCCAAGACGACTAAGCTGTTGCTGGTTGTGATTATTCTATTTTTGGTAACGGAGTTCCCTCAGGGTATTGTGATTTTCATGAGTGCCATTGTTCCCAACTTTTACAAGTCTGTGTATGTGCCTTTAGGAGATTTTATGGATTTCCTTGCACTTGTGAACAATGCCATAAATTTTGTTTTGTATTGTAGCATGAGCAACCAATTCCGGTCTCGATTTTTGGAGATGTACTGTAACAAAAGACGTGGTTTTAAGTACACAAATAAGTTTAGTTTTACGTATTCTTTATCGTCCTTCACCAAAACAACTGTAATTGATTCCTTAAAGAGATGAAACAAAATGATAGATTGTTTCCTTTGCCAAAGAATGTGTAAATTTATTATTTGTTACTTAACTGTTGTTTCTTTACGGACTAAATAACTTGACTGGCATTCCGTACAGATTTTTATAATAGAGTCCCACTTCACTGATACATGAATCAATTGACTGAGTGAAGTATTAATTTTGTACATGTCTAAAAATATGTATAAAGAAAGTCAAAATGAATGTGTTCTTTTTCTTTACAGCAGTGTGCTTTGATATAATAACGTCACATAATACTGTGTAATAATTTAATGAGCACTAAAAAACAAAATAAAGACCTGAGTCTCAAAACAATGTAAAATCTAGGGTACAATAGATATAAGAAAGTGCGATGCTGACTAGAAGGCCTGCATTTACAAGGAAGAAGAAGACAGAAAAATATCCTCATCTTTTTTAATACATGCTGCAGGGCAATTTACGTTTCGTATTATTCCAGGAAATACTTCTTTAAAACGAAAAACATTTTGATAACCGGACCTTTACGTATTTTTTCTTAAATTCCTAGTTTTATAATATAATTTTCATTGTTTTTCATTTGTGATATACTTCCTGGAAGTCATGCCAGTAACTACATACAACCAATGGTTAAATGTCGTTAAAAAAAACCTCACAAAGACCTCGATCCGATTTTTAAAAATTATGGCTTTGGTGAAAAATTTTGCGGAAAGTGATACTTTAAAAAAAAAAAAAAAAAAAAAAAAAAGCTTGAATATTTGGATTATTCACCCTTCCCCCACGTTAACTGCACAGTGACTCCAGAATATTCACAGATATTGTGAGTCATTTGTCAGCCATGCAATGATATATATTTGAAACGTATAAAACAAAAGGAATCTGAATTAAATACAGCCCTATATATTATGTTTACATATTGGATAAATACATAGGTGTTGAAATATTACACGAGACGATGGAATATGTCTGTGTTTTACACGCAATGAACCTTTTATCTTCTTTACACCATCTTCACGTTGATTGAAGTGAACTGGAAACTTGACAGAGAGAATGGTTGCTATGGTTACAGCCAAATTTACGTATTCTTTGTCATAAAATGTATAAAATTCATGATACTTTAATGTACTTGCTACGTGCTCTATGTATCAAAATTAATACAAAAATCTATATTATGCATTTATATTTTGATATTCCCAGCTTATTAACATTGAGATAATAGCGCAATTTCAAGCAACGTCTAAGAAAATGCGAACTTATCTCACAGATAGGCCATTGTTAATATTGCTTTGCGCTTCCAGGAATTATATATATATATATATATTATATTATATTATATTATATTATATTATATTATATTATATTATATTATATTATATTATATTATATTATATTATATACAAAGCACTAAAAATGACCTACGACACGAACAATAATAATTGTCAAATTTTCGGGACGACCTGTCCCTTCCTCAGGATAAAGAAAAAAGTTAAGAAGTCATAAAAACAAAGGAAATAGAGAAACAAAAACAACTAGCACTACTACTAAACACTCAATCAGTAAATATTTACAGTGTTACATATTTAATTTGAAGTTTATAAACAGTTGTGAACAAAGAAATACGGAGCGCTATGAATTGCGTCCGTTCTATCGGGTGTACTCTGGTGAAGTGTGATGTACATAATTGAACGAATTAATTATCGCTAATTAATTAGGACCAAGCAGTAAATCGTACATTGTCTTACTCTCTCAAAATAGCGTAACTATACATGATAAAAATAAATTATAGAAAGATAATATGGAAGGGCAATTTTAAAATATGAATTTTGATATATTATAAATTTGGAAATCGGATAAAAGAAATAAACAACAATGTAAGCTGTAAATATTTGGGTAGGTTGTTCCAGAATTGCTAATGCGAATTAACGGTAAAGTTTACACTAAATAGAGAGAATGAACTTGTTTGTTACAATCCGGGATTTGATCTAGTTCATGTTCATCCTGGTGAAGTCATTTAGTTTGTTAATACCATTAGGGCGGAATGACATCAGCCTGTGCATCCAGAACTTTTCCTTGCCTTTTCTCTGAGCGTCTGTCCATCTTGGATTATGGTCAATAACCACGACTGTCACGTCCTCCCATTTGTGACCTTCAAGGTTGAAATGTTCCCCAACGGGTTCATTGAGTTTTTTGGTCCTAATGGTAGAACGGTGATTATTGAGTCTCCTGCGGAGATCTCCTGTTTCACCAACATACTGTTTGGAGCAAACTTTGCAACTGGTGAGATAAATGCAGTTGTCTGTTTGACAGGACAAATTCCATAGTATTTTGTAGCTACGACCTGTAATGGGGCTGTTAAAGCTGTCTGTGTCAGAGCTGTGCTTACAGAAAAGACATCTTCTGTCAAAGCAAGTTTTAAAGCCCCCGTTAGGTAATGGATTGTCCAATCTGGTTCTTACTACCATGTCCTTTAGGTTCCCCGGGCGTCTGTATGCAGCCAATGGGGGCTCCTTGAAGACCTCTGCCATTCGTTTATTTGAGTGGAGAATTGGCAGATACTAGGAAATTTGTCCTGTCAAACAGACAACTGCATTTATCTCACCAGTTGCAAAGTTTGCTCCAGACAGTATGTTGGTGAAACAGGAGATCACCGCAGGAGAGTCAATAATCACCGTTCTACCATTAGGACCAAAAAACTCAATGAACCCGTTGGGGAACATTTCAACCTTGAAGGTCACAAATGGGAGGACGTGACAGTCGTGGTTATTGACCATAATCCAAGATGGACAGACGCTCAGAGAAAAGGCAAGGAAAAGTTCTGGATGTACAGGCTGATGTCATTCCGCCCTAATGGTATTAACAAACTAAATGACTTCACCAGGATGAACGTGAACTAGACCCAATCCCGGATTGTAACAAACAAGTTCATTCTCTCTATTTAGTGTAAACTTTACCGTTAATTCGCATTAGCAATTCTGGAACAACCTACCCAAATATTTACAGCTTACATTTTTGTTTATTTCTTTTATCCGATTTCCAAATTTATAATATATCAAAATTCATATTTTAAAATTGCCCTTCCATATTATCTTTCTTTAATTTATTTTTATCATGTATAGTTACGCTATTTTGAGAGAGTAAGACAATGTACGATTTACTGCTTGGTCCTAATTAATTAGCGATAATTAATTCGTTCAATTATGTACATCACACTTCACCAGAGTACACCCGATAGAACGGACGCAATTCATAGCGCTCCGTATTTCTTTGTTCACAACTGTTTATAAACTTCAAATTAAATATGTAACACTGTAAATATTTAGTGTTTAGTAGTTTAGTAGTTGTGCTAGTTGTTTTTGTTTCTCTATTTCCTTTGTTTTTATGACTTCTTAACTTTTTTCTTTGTCCTGAGGAAGGGACAGGTCGTCCCGAAAATTTGACAATTATTATTGTTCGTGTCGTTTGTCATTTTTAGTGCTTTATATAAATTTCCATCCGTGACCTTGTATCTACTTAGTAGATCCGACACTTAGAATATACAGTGTTGTTGGATTTTAGTGCTTTATATATATATATATATATATATATATATATATATATATATATATATATATATATATATATATATATATATATATATATATATATATATATATATATATATATATATATATATATATATATATATATATATATATGGAGCAGAGCAAACACGGACCTCCAAAAACATCAGAGGCGGGATCAGGTGCCATGGAGTAGTAAGCACAACCTGTCAACCTTTCACACCCGCCCTGTGCTCCTTGACATGATTAGGTAAACGGGAAAATCCGTATACAATTCAGTGTGTAAATAATGGCCCAACAATTTGAATGAAAAACGTCAGTCAACATTGGTTTAATGTTAAAACATTATTGTGACGTAAACCTTTTGTTTGTGTTGTCCTTTTTACAGCTTAATGTTGGGCTATCTCCCCAAACAATCCATTAGGTTACCTGTAAGTGTCCATTCTTTTTGGAAAACTGTCCATTTTTTTTTAAGAATAGAGAGTTGTTTTTTTTTTTTTTTCAAACAGAATGGACAGTTAAAACAAACAGAATGGAGAGTGATAGGTAAACTTTGGAATGTGTTCAAGAGGGAAACAAAAACAAATACCATTAATACTCTTTAATTTACATGTAAATAACAAAAGAACGCGGAGATTTAAGTTAATCCAGAACACAATGTCTGCACAGCATCCACTAAATTTTACTCTGTTAAATCCATGAATAATGCACATTATTTCAATACTCAAAACTCAATTTTCAAAAAATTTGAATTCAAATGACACAATTTCACATTTGATTTAAATTTCGTAAAAATCATTCCCTCGAAGAAATTTTGTACGTCTAATATTAAATCCTCCACCCAGAAAACAGTTTCCACCATGAACACTGCACTGTTGCAGTTATTATTTCCGTAAAAAATAATTGAAAATGAAACATTTCCAGATTTGATTTGAAAAACATTTTCAGGTCGAAGTTTGGCTCATGGCTATCGAACACTCAGAACACAATCTGCATCTCACCATTACACAGGACCTGCTACATTGCTGTAGTCAATATATCCTCAAAAATTGAATTCAAATTAAATATTTTCAGGTGTGATTTGATTATCTGTATCTGTCGGAGAAGATCATTTTTGGTCAAAGCTTGGCTAATATTTCTTTTACTCTTACTCTTCTGTTTCTAGATCCAAATATCACTAATTTGTGTATCTTTTGGTTTATTAGATTTTGATTCTGTCATATACTCTCTCCATGAAATATGTGGTGATAACGAACAGTATTCGAGCTCAAAAGTCAATTAAACATAACAAAATAAGAGCAGAGTAAGCACGGACCTCTAAGACATCAGAGGTGGGATCAGGAGGGCGTGGAGGAGTGAATATCCTCGGCCAACCGCCGTGTGCTCCTTGTCATGATCGGGAAATAACGGGAAAATCCGCCGACAATTCAGTATGTAAAAAATGACAATTTGTATGAAAAAAGTCAGTCAGCATTTGACTTAATGAAAGATTGCATTTGCTGACAAGGTCATTGTATTGACCATAAAACTTATAAAATGATGACTTTATACGGGACTGCTAATATCATTGTTTCATCAACTTGTTTGTCAATAACTTACCTAAATTGCTCATACGTAAAGCATGCTCTGGCGTATCGAATCAACTGAGAGATATAAATCCCGTATGCA